TTGTAGGCTCTTGACTCTCCCTCTCCGGTGTTTTCCACCTAAACCATCACTGCCCTTCCAGCAGAGAATCTTTTAAAGCACTAATCCTGTCCTGCTGTTCCCTTATGTAAACTTACTCAAAGGCTGCCATTAAGAGTCAAGTCCAACCTTGATAACCCAGCACACAAATCCTCTATTTCCCGGCCCTCCTGGTCCTTCTGTCCTTACTCGGGTAAATCTCATCCCAGCCATGACTAATGTGGAAACATGCACACTATACTGTTTCTGGCCTCTGGCCTTGGTTTATGCTGTTCCTTCTGTCAGTCCTGCTCACTCCCACCTTCCTTCTGCAGTGGCTAACTCATCCTTGGGATTCGGAACACTCAGCACCCCCTTCTAGTTGGCCTTCGCAGGCTGCACTTGTCTTCCCAAGCTGAGCTGAGAACAACTATTTTGTTGTCTCCTGGCTCTCACGCTAAAGTTAACTTGAGTCTACCTGTTTACCTGCCTGTCTGCTCATGTCTGTGTCAGCCCCTGGGCACAGAGCCCGTGTTTCATTCATCCCTGTGCCCTTGGCTCCCGGCACCAAGTGTTTGGTGAACTGAGCTGAACTATAAAGTGTTCTTCACTCACATTACCTAGTACTGAATGTTTACAACAGTCTTTGAAACAAAATATTATTATTTCCAACTTCATGAATTGGGAAACTGAATCTCAGAGAATTTGCCCAAAGCCACGCAGCTGATAAGGAGCAGAAGACTGAACTTAAATCCAGGTCTACCAACCTTGAACTTTCGGAAAGTTTGACCACAAAACCTTGCATTTTATTCTTAATTAATCTTTTGTGTTAGTTATAAAATATATTACACTTATAAAAATTATGTCACATAAGACATCAGTGTGTATCTTTCATAATAATAATAAAATAAATGCCCATGTAGTCCATCACTCAGTTTAGGAAGTAGAACATTGCCAGTACCTTTGAACCACTATCCAAATTTTGTGTTTATCATCCCCTTGCTTTTCTTTAGATTTTCCTACATATGGATGTATAGTGTGTTTTTTGATTTTGCATGCTTTTGAATCACACGGTATTATAATCTGTGGACTTGCTTTTTTAACTCAATATCATGTCTGTGGGATTCATCCATGTCAATATGGATACGGGATAGCTGTGGTATGGGCAATTTCATTGCTGTCTAGTAGTTTATTCTATAAGAGTATCAAAGTTCACTTGCCCACTGTTTCTTCTGTTGATGGACGCTTGAGGTGTCGCCATTTTTTTGTTTTTGTTTTGCTTTTACAAAGAGTGATGTTATCCTTGTACATCTCTCCTGTTATCCATGTTTCTCTGGGGCGTATACCTAAGAGTGAAATTCACAGAAGCACCTTTATCTTTACCAAATCATGTCAAATTATTTCCAATGTTAATAGCATCAGCAGTGAAAAGGAGTTTCTGTTACTCCAGATCCTTACCAAAATTTGTATGTGCTGTGATCTGAATGTTTGTGTCCCCCCAAAATTCATGTGTTGAAATCCAGACCTGCCCCCAAAGGTTGATGATATTAGTAGGTGAGGCCTTGGAAAGTGGAGCCTTTAAGATTAGTGGCTTATAAAAGAGGCTCCAGAGAGATCTCTAGCCCGTAGGTGCTGGCTGTGAACGAGGAAGAGGGCCTTCCTGAATGTGACCATGCTGGTGCCTTGATCTTGGACTTCCCAGCCTCAAAACTGGGAGCAATGAATTTCTGTTGTTTATAAGCTATCCAGTCATTAGTATTTTGGTATAGCAGCCCAAATGAACTGAAACAATACAAAAATTAAAAAAAAAAATTTTCTTGCCAACCAGGTAGGTATAAATTGATTCTCATTAGGCTTTTTAATTTGCATTTTTCTGATTATTGGTGAGACAGAAGCATTTCATATGTTTATCAGCCATTTATACTTTATCTTATGAAATATGCCTGTTTATGTTTTTGCCCTTTTGTTCTGCTGGGTTATCTGGCATTCTCTTATTGACCTATTGGAGTTATTTACATATTCTGGACGTGAAACTTTGTCGGTTATATGTCGTGACGAATAACGTTCTCACTTTGTGACTTATCTTTTTATATTTTATGGTCTATTGATATATGAAGTTTCTTAATTTTATTGCAATTGTGTGTTATCAATCTTATCCTCTGTGGTTTGTATTTTTGTGTGTATTTGTTTGTTTAAAGAATTCTCCCCTCTCCCACGGTCATAAGTAGTAAATGATAGCAGTTAATGAGTACTTTCTAAGTTTCAGTACTCATCAGCTCCATTTTACAGTTGGATGCAAAGCACAGAGAAATTAAGCAACTTGATCAAAATCACACAGCCAATCTGCAGTGGAGTCAGGATTTAGCTTCAAATGATGTGGCACCAGAACAGAATTCCCTGAATTAACTGAGGAACAGACCTCCACCATTTCAGTGCTCAAAACAGGCTTTTGGTGTCCTATAAAGTGAACAGGATATCCCCAAAAGAAAATCCGCAAGAGGTAGAGGCCGTCATAAAGCCCTGAACAGCCTCCAGCAACTCCTACACTGCTGGGACCAAAATAGCTCACACAGCATTCCTGCCGCCTCCTTGTAAACTGAGTGGAAAGGAACACTGGTCACGAATTCTTTGTTCCAACCACCCCCACGCACTAGGACAACCACAGCAACGGCGGCGGCATCTTGGACTCTGGAGAACAGCATGTCACAGGCTACACATCATACTTCTTCTGTACCAAGTGCTGTCTTCCTCCAAAATTAGACGTTTTTTAAACAAATGCAAAGAAACAGAAAATGATCTTTTTAATTAAAAAAATAAAATGGGAGTGTTTTGAGTGTAGCAGCGTAGGGGGGCCAGATCATAAAGTATCTCATATGCCAAGCTTAAAAAGTGTGAACTTTATTGTGTCAATGGGGAGGTTTGGTAGCATTTGAAACAGGAAAGTGACACGATCCATTTATTATCTTGCTTGTTAGAGACAGTATGACTAGTTACAATCTGGCTGATAGAATATACCGAGGAGTGGTTGTGCCAGGCTCTGCCGATGGTACCCTCCCACCCCATCCTGGCTTCTTCCTTGCTGATAGAGCTCTACTCCCACACTGAAGGCTGGAAATGCCTGAGAGTCACTTTCCCAGCTTCCTTTTGCACGTAGAGCATTGATGGGCATGTGACCCAGTCCTGGCTAATGGGACCTGAAAGGGAGTCTGCTGGAGGAGTCTGAAAAAAGTTTTCCTCTAATCAAAAGATGCATAAGAAGAAATGCCTCTTGGGTGCCAGGGTGGCTCAGTCTGTTAAACATCTATCTGCCTTTCGACTCAGGTCATGATCCCAGGGTCCTGGGATTGAGCCCCGCATCAGGCTCCCTGTTCAGCAGAGAACCTGCTTCTCCCTCTCCCTCTGGTGCTCCCCCTGCTTGTGCTCTTTCTGTCAAATAAATAAATAAAATCTTTTAAAAAAAAGAAGATATGCCTCGTTTTTGTTATGATATCATTGAGCCATACAGAACAAAATTTCCTCCAGGGAAAATAGATGCTTGTTGTCTAAGCCACTTTTACCAGGATATTCTGTTACTGGTACCCTAAAGCAGCTCAACTGAAGGAAGCATTAATAAAGTCACCAACACAAGTTAATGTGATATTATAGAAGATATAAAAAATAGACTTTTTCCTTCAGATATTTATTTGAAATAAATGAGCCTCTTAAAATTGCATATAGTTAGCTACCGTATTAACTGTTCATTGAGCATTTTGGGTGGTGCTGAAGCAAGAAACCACACAGCTTCCCAGATGACATGTCTTGTTATTTCTTTACCTAAAATGATATTTTTCTCATTTCCTTCTCTCATTTGCACACATCCCCTAATAAACACTGAAAACTTTCTCCCAGTTTTTCACTGGGCAGCAATTCTCTTTTCTTGAGGGTCTCTCCATAATGAAGTCATGGCAGTCAAAATACCTTACCTAAGAAGAATCTCAGCATTGTGTAAACAAAAGAATTGCAAGTGCCGGGGCTTCAGGCAACAATATAGAATCACAGGATTCTCAAGGTCAGTGGTACCTTACAAGTCATTTGTGTAGTAACAGTAGAATTTGAATACAGACAAAACCAAAACATCTAGTTAGAGTTCTTTAAGACCATTAACAATGATCTCCCATTCTAAATTCTTAAATCCAGCAGCTGGCAACATTTCAGCAATTCCTTCTGGTTCCATCTGAAGTAAACCCCGTTTCTGAAGGAAACTTTGGGGTCCTCCAGCTACCACCAGGAGATTCCTTCCTTCATTGCGGGAATATTTACTAAGATCTATCAGTTGTTGATATTGAGATTTAATCGATCCAACCTTTATTCTCATGTTGCTTACAATATTTTCGGGAACTCGTGACTTTTCCATATGCAAACAACTTTGAAAGTTCAAGGGAGAAACACTGGAAGTGTGATAGAGAGCTGGAACTGCCAGGTACAGACGGGGTGAAGGGGGCTGCTCTGGGCTAGACGGAGGGGTTTCTCTCCCATTCACTTCACCGCGTCCTGACCGAGCGCTCGCTGGGGCTGGAAGCGCCTTTGGAGACACCTCCTTCTCGCCCCAGCAGGTGCGGCCACCCGCGCGCACAGGGATCCGCCCTGGGCGGTCTGGCCAGTGAGGATGCCGAGCGCCCAGGCCCCGCGGCCCCGAGGATGCGCCGCGAGCCGGGCCGCCCCGAGAGGCCGCAGACGGCGGGGGTCCCCGCGGGCACCTGGCGCCAGAGGACCCAGGCCGCGCCGGGCCGGGCGGGGCGTGCGGGCGGGAGCCGCACCTGCCCGCCGCGCGGGGGCGGGAGCCAGGTGGCCACCGTGCGCCCGCCATTCCGGGCGCGGAGCAGGAAGTGGCCTCGGCGCGGCCCGGGCGCGGCCTCGGCAGGGCGCGCCTCCTCCGCGGCGCCTGGCGGAGCGGCGGGGCCGGGAGGCAGCCGGAGGCCGAGCCCGAGCCCGAGCCCGAGCCCGAGCGCCGGGAGCGAGCCCCAATGGCCGCCGCCTCGGCTGCGGTGGACGAGCTGTCCCGGAACTTCACGTACTGGGCGCTGGGCGCCGGCAACGGCTCCCTGTCGGGCGCGTGGTACCGCAGGAACCAGGTAAGGGGCCAGCCGCCCCAGTCGCCCGGTGGGGACACGGGCGGGGCCGCGGCGCCTCCTGCTCCTCGGCCGCGCGCCTGCCAGCTCTCAGACACCGGGAAGAGCTGACGTGATGTTTCCACACGTTCACTGAACTACCCCTCCTGTGGGGCCCCCCTCCCCCGGCCTAACTCTCCGCCGCATCAGTCCCTGGGAGTGGGGCGCTTAGGTCTGCGGCTCCGACCTCTCCGGGGTCATTCCGGGGCCCCTTGGTCCCGAACATTCCCGCCTCTCCAGCCTGAATCCGCCTGCTCCCGGAAGGATTCTAGGAGGGTGGGGTGACTGCCCTCCACCCGTATTCAGTTCCCCTCCATCCCCATCATTTTACGGTGAAAAATAAATGACACCCCATTCTCAGAAGCAGGGAACTCATTAAGGGCTTCCAAATGTCCCTCCCGCGCAGATGCTCTGCGCGCGCGTGTCCCCGCTGGCTCAGCACGGCGCTTCCATTTCCGTGCGAAGAACACCCATATTCTTGGGTTGCGATTGCCTGACTCTCTCCTTCTGTCTCACCGGTCCTCTGGGGAAACATCGTCAGCCTAAACAATGCCAGTTTATGCTGGAAATATACATTGAAGAAGATCAAAGGGAGTGGAGCTGCCCATTTATTTTTGTCTTGGTTTAAGATAGAAAAACAGCCCTGGCAAGCCCTTCCTCTGGGCACATTTATATTCTTTCAAGTGGGAGCAAGAGATCTTGCTGGATCCGGGGCTTCCTCCTGGGTTCATAAGTGTGTTACTTTTTTCTTGTTCTTTAACAAATCCGTGGGCCTTCTTAGTTTGCAACAATATAATCAAAGTATTTGTTACTGTTGGGCTACATCGTGTTTTAACCAATAATCAAAGGTCTAGAATTCCTCTAAGAACACTTGAAAAGTGTTTTGAATGTTAATTTATAAAATATTGAAATTTTGTTTTCAGAAATTTAACACAGAAAATTATTTATATAAAGACAGGATAAGCATGTTCACCTTAATTCGTTTTCAACAAAGGAGAGGGTATTGCTTGAAGTCTGTCTCACCACAAAACTACTAAAGTAGGAAAAATGAGGGGACTCAGAGCCTCTTGGTCACTGTTTTTTAACTCTTCCAGTTCTTCCTTCTCAGGAGTTACAAAGAAAAAAATTGCTTTTTATGGAAAGCTCTTTGAGCCTGTTAAATTATGCTTATGCTAGTAAATATTATAAACATGCTATAATGTGCTTCTGCTAGAGGCACTCCCAGTAAAGGTTTAAGAATGAACTTTTTTCTTTTGGTAAAGAAATTAGAGGGTTAGTAGTTGTGACCTACAATGGCATCATCCAAAACAGGAAAAAACATTGTTCTCACAGTTGAAACTCCTGTAGTCAGTTCTCGTTGATGTTTCCTGGAATTCAAGATTGTCTTGGCTCTCTAACAGCAAAACAGATTACCACGTGACATAAATGTGGGGACCTAACTTGATGTTTGCAAGGCCTAACTTGCCTTTGACAGTATATATTTGTACAGGTTTAAAAGGGTGTATCCAGGATATGCTAATTGAAATTACTCAACTGACATCCAAACTATACCTAGTTTGAGGTAAGGTTGTATCAACTTTTCCCAATATTGTACAAATTTAGGCCATCTTAGAAGACTTAGAAGAGTGTGAAAATTGATTTTTTGAAATTCATTCAGCAAATATTTTATTGAGTGCCTCTAGTGTGGGCCAGGCCAACAAAAATCAAATGGAGTCTAATTTTTTTTTCTTTTCTTTTTTGACACAGCCAAATGTAGATGACTGAAAATGGGTGTGGCTCCCGAAAAACAAAAGTGTGAGATCTCAGTTTAGGACTCTCACACTCAAAATTAGCCTTGGTTGCTGAGTAGTCATGGTTTAATCAGTTTTATCACAACTGAACTATTTGATGACAGTAGCCTAGCTCTCTGCGTCTTTCCAAGTGATAATCATCAGACTGATAAAGTAACCTTATTCCTAGAGAAAGACCAACACTTTCACATAACAGATGAATATTTAACAGTGGTCTCTTAGAATCAATGTTGTCCAAGGCAAAGATGTGAGTGCTTCTAGAGGAGGAAATCCTAAAGCGGGTAGAAAGTAGTAGTTCAGTGGGGGAAATGTTTTGGGAAGCCAGAGAAGTGAGGTCTTTGCTCCTTTTTGTCACTCAAGAGCCTGCCTCTGAAAGTACAGTTGCGGTGGATTTTGGTAAACGTGTTTTCTTCATGTTTGATCCACAAGTTTTCAGTATAAAAGGGTAATATTTCTGAGACAGTTATCGAGCCCCCTACTTTGTACAAAACATGTGAACCTATTCACCCTTCCCTCCAGGAGTGTTATTAGCTGCTAAGGGAAATGAGCTATACTCCAAAAAAAGGCAGTATGTTTTAAGTATCATGTGAGTGATATAAAGTCCTGTGGAAATTTGGAGCAAGGTGGCTTTGTGCAGGGGCCATCAGGGATGTTTTGTGAAAAGGTGGTATTTCAGCTGGGCACTTACAGATGGACAGAGTTCCACTGATGGGAGTGCACAGGTGGAAGGGATTCCAAGAGAGGGAAAGTCTGGGGACCAAGGACAGCCCATGGCTTGGGCAGGTGACCTTCTGCCTATTTTTGTACCTGATGTAGAAATCGGTGGCCATTCTGGTTGCAGGGGAGGACAGAGACTGTAAGGTGGAAATATAATTTGGGGTCTTAAATAGAGTCATGGATTGCCTTGAAGGACTGGTTAAGAAGTTTGGACTTTATCTTGTAGGCAATGGGGAGCCCTTGAAGGTTGTTTTTTTGTTTTTTGTTGTTGTTGTTTTAGCAAGGAATATGAGAATCAAAGCAAATTAAATAAAAGAAATTCTAAGTTAGCAGCGTTGATGCAGAGGCCTCAAATTGGCTAAATCCAGCCCACAGTTGTGTCTTGTTTGACCTGCAAAGAGGCTTAAAAAAATGTTTAATACATTGCCAGCATTTAAAAGCAAGTAGATTATATATAAAGTTTCAAGTTTCGGTGATCTCTTTAAATGTTCAAAGTTCTAGCAGCACTTGGCCTTTTCTCCCACGTGGTAACTGTGAGCAGAAGTTCACAGTTTACGACAGCTGTGCTCCCCACCTATGCCCCTCCCTTTACTCTCCTCGCTTTTACATACTGGCCCCTGTAGGCACTTAATTTGCAACCAGTGTTAGAGGCTGTAGTCTAGTCTCTGCTGTGAACTAGAGTGTGCTTAGGCTTCAGTTTCCTCTCCAGGAAAATGAGGGTTGGAATAAAAGATCTCCAGTCTCCCTTTTGCTATCTGATGGATTAAATAGTGCCAAACCAGCAAGGTTATGGAGGGAATCGACAGGAAAGGATGAACGTGGGAAGTATTGTGAAGGAGGGGTTTTGTCCCTGGTTCTTAAAGTTTAAGCATATTGCTAAGTATCTAAATTCACAAGGACATTGTCAGAAAGGTTTATTCTGCATAGGGTGAGATGAAAATTCAGAATTTTTTATGTCCTTTATTTGAACTTTTGATTTTCAATGGCTTGAATGTTTAAAGTCAACATATTTAAAGGAAAATTGATACAACTTGGCCAGGAAGAGGCAAAGCCAAGAGACTGACATTTGTTATGCATTTACTATGTGACACTTTATAGCTATTATCTCAATGCAGGCCCCAACAACAACCTCGTAAGGTACATATTAGCTTCACTGTTCCTGTAAGGAAACCTCTAAATAACTTGCTCCAAGATCTTACAGCAAGTAGGTTTAACTACACAGCTATCCTTATTCCTTGCCTGAAGGCCATTGCTTAGAAACTATGGCTTGAAAAGAATGTGGTAGTGAGAGGCAACGTGAGGAGGGGAATGAATATGGCTTATTTCATTGCACTAAAGAAAAATTGCTTTGAGTTTTATATCACCCTTTTATTGATTTTTGCTTTGATACCACCTATTTCTTTTCTGCTGGTAGCTGCATCTGTCTGTCTCTTAAAAGAAAGAAAAGTGCCAAAATTTCCAAATAACCAAAGTGCTGGGTAGAGGTTGCTGGTCCTTTCCATTTCGTTCCCAAGAAAATAATCCTTTTTTTGTTTTATTTATGCTTATTGATTTTTTTTGCATCTCTTATATATCCAACATGGCATTTTCCCATTACCAGATTTTCTACAAGATGTATGTATGAGGCAGCAAGAGGAAGGAAGAAACAGATTACCTCAAGACAACTATATCAAAGCTTTTGTAAAAGCAAAATAAATCATCATCATCACCATCATCATCATCATCATCCCATGGTTTTTGTTAGAGGAAAAAAGTCTTAATGCTCCTGTGAGTTTGGCAGACAAGATGTTTGCATTTCATTCTACCTGATCTCCTCCTTATGGCTTGATTTATACTAACTAGTTATAATATTTGTATTGATGCAATCAGCAAATTCAGGCTCACATTGCCATTTTACAGGTTGAAATGGCTCCATTTCTTCAAAAATCATTTTTACAAGAAAGAAAAGGGAGAAGATGGAGAAGTTGTAAATTAAGAGACCTAAAAAACCTATCTAGAAAAAAAAAAAAACCTTCAACTATAGTGTTGAAGGTTGTGCACTTGGGTGATGAAACTATAAGGAAAGGCGAGAAAATGATTACAATAAAGTCAGGCCAGTGGTTCCTTGTGGGAGGGGGGCTGGTGTGATGAGACGGGGCAAAGGGAGGGCTTTGGGTGGGCGCCCCATTTCTTTTGGCATCTTGATCTGGATTGTGTTATGAGGGTGTTTACCTTCTAATAATTCATTTTAATAATTTATTCATCTGTATCATTCTCTTTGCAGTTGTCTGTATCATATTCTATAATTTTTTTAAGTTTTAAAAATATTATTAGCATTGCAATAACTGTTCAACTTGCATGTTTTACCCAGGTGGATAATGGTATATACCATATTCATCTTGTGGGAAGTGGTATGCCATATTCACTTTGTTTGCTTAAACAAGCGATTGAGAATTACTTAAATAATTTCTTTTTAAA